AATAACAAGTAAAATAAAATAAAATAAAATAAAATAAAATAAAATAAAATAAAATAAAATAAACCATTTTGGGTGCCAATGGGAGTGAGAGAGGTAACATGAGAGTGCTAAGAGGGAGGAGGAAGAGATTATGGGCTGGGAATCTCTTCTTGCACAGTGAAGGTTCCTGTTTTTGTACATGTGGAAGATGATGGCTGTTTCGTCTTTCTCAGCTCATCTCGGAAATGTTGTATTTGCAAGGAAAAAAATAATGCAAAGCATTTTGGAAGAGGAGACCAAGTTAATTTTATTAAAATCCTTCCCCAGTTCTAAACAATGATAAACATTGCACAGGAAAAGATCCGGTGTTTGGATTCCAAATCCTCTCTGTCTCTCTCATTTTTGGAAGTCCCCGACAGGAATTTGCCTCCACCAGTCACTGCTAGCTTCTTTTCCTAGAATGCCCTGATGGGATGGGTGGTTGAGGGCAAAATACAGGAAAATGCTTTTAAAGACCTAAAACCCATTGGATCCGAACATTCATGTTGAGAAAAACAGGACTAGCAGCAAATCAGTTGCAGGAGCAAATGCCACTCTATGAATCCGAAGGGGGAAAAAACATCTAAAATCCATATGACAGCTGTACTTTTATTAGGACAGTTGGACAGGACGAAGGGCAACTGTGTAATCTTCGGAGTTCTGCAGAATTCTTTGTCTGCCGAGACCCAGGCTGAGATGGCAGGGGTGTGACATTCCTTGCACTCTACTAATTTTGGAGACGGATTTTGGAAGGAAGCAATGCAACTAAAGGAAAAACAGATGGGTGGAAAGGAGGGAGACGCAGAGCAACAAACTCCCGCTTGCCAACCACCCTGGGATGACTCAGCCCCCGGCCATCTGCTAAAAGGGCCAGGAGCGTGGTTGAGTGGAAAGAGACGTCTTCTCTAACCCTGTGTTCCCAAAGGAAGCCGGTGGGACTTGCAAATCCATGGGGAGCAGCCAGGAAGCCAAGCCAGGACGTTCACATTTGGAGTTGCTGCTAAAAGCTGGAGGTTCAGAAAGGTTTTGGAGATCACCAAAGGATGATGTGGGTTCCTGCCTTGCTCTACTGTGGCTTCTGGGCGAGGAAGACCCCCCAGCGCTGGTCCCCATCCGCGCAGCGTTGCAGTTTCTCCTGCCACCCAGAGACCATGGACTTAAACTCATCCTCTGAGAATTCCTGAGGATGAAGGAGGAAAAGGAGAGAAGGCATTAAGAATGGTCCCTGGGGTGAGGTGGAAGAAAATGATCCAATGTCAAGGATCTTGAGATTTTGCATCTGCAGTTCAATGTCTGCTCCATTCTGGCCCAGCCCAGTGGAAGAGAAGCCATCAGAGAAGTGGGGGCCCCTTAAACCAAGAAAGCTTTACGAGTTGTACTTCTGCTGCTACCCCTGGCCGTATGCTCCCTATGGCTGTCAAGGTGTGCAGCGCAGGTATCTGTGCCCTCGCGCGAAATGGCTACCCCACCTGAACAAATTTCTCCCGGCTTGTCTCCAATCTTTGAAGCTCTTGGGTCAAAGCAGACAACATCCGCTCGGTTGAGTCCAAAACTTTGACCTGCACAAATCCAGCCTCTTGCAATACCTGTGGAATAATAGCAAGCGAGGGAGCCATTGGGTGGCAAGCGGTGGACCCATTTGGGGTGGTGGAAAGTGATGGGGCTATGTGAATGTGTCCCACCTCACATACTCTACCTGGCCGTAGTCTTCAGGGGTGAGCAGGCTGTACCTCCTCTGCTTGACGTATTGGGTGAAAGCTTTGGACCACGGACGTTGCCCGCAGCAATAATCGGAGATGAGAAGCTGCCCGCCGGGTTTTAGCCACGACTGGGAAGAAGTCAGAGATGGCCGTGTAAGACTGAGAGTAGGCTCTCAGACAGTGTTTCTCCACCTTAGGAGCTCTAAGATGTGTGGACTTCAACTCCCAGAATCCCCCAGTTGAAGTCCACACATCTCAGAGTTCCTAAAGTGGAGAAACACTGCTGTAAGACATGCACAGTCTTTTACCCTGGAGTAATGGGGGACAGGACATTGCATTTTGAACACTTTTGCTCCCTGCCCAGAGAAAACAACGCTCTACTGGAGCCCATGGAAATCAAAAGGGGTTGTTTTTAGGGTCCACAGGAAACAGGATTATTTTTTACGGGTGCCCCAAACAATCAAATCTGAAATGTCTGGGGAAAAATGGATCACATTGTTCTACTTTTTAAAGTACAGGTAGTCCTCACTTAACAACCATTCATTTGGTGACTGTTCAAAGTTACAACGGAGCTGAACAAAGGGACTTACAACTGGTCCTTGCACTTACAACCGTCACAGCATCTCCATGGTCACATGATTGTGATCCGGGCACTTGGCAACCAGCTCATACTTACCATGTTGCAGCATCCTGGGGTCACGTGATCCCCATTTGCGACCTTCCCAGCCAGCTGCTGGCAAGCAAAATCAATTGGGAACTGCATGATTTGCTTGGCAACCGCATCATTCGCTTAATGAGCTCTGCAAAACGGTCGTAAAATTGGGCGCAAGTCGCCTAACAACCGCCCCGCTTAACAACGAATTTTCTGATCCCTACTGTGGTCGCTAAGCGAGGACTACCTGTAAACCCCTCTAATGTCATATCCCCATTCCAGCTCTGTTGGATAGCAGCTTCCATCACCCCCCCGTGCAGGATGGCTGGGCATGATGGGAGTTGTAGTCCAACAGACCTGAAAGATGCCTTGCTGAAAAAGATTGTCTTAGGGTCTCTGTCTTTCCTGTTTCTACACGGGGGCCTTCCTCTATTTATCTGCAGGGGCAGGACGGAGCACTCACCAGGAGCCGCCGAAAAAGACTAACTTTATCTTCTATGTGCAAGACAGTATCTCGACTGTAAACAATACCAAAGGAGGCTTCTGGGAACGTTCTCCGGGTCACGTCACTGATTTCAAATTGGACCTGGAGATGGGAACGATCAGAGAAGAAAACGGGGCTCAAGGATGAAGAACCAAGGATTGTTCCCCACGAAGCTGAAGAAAATGTGGAACCATTTAGGGAAGAATAGCCAGGCCCCCCCTCCCCAAAAGAAGACCGTGCCTCGTTGGAAGATGCACGCGCCCAGGACAACCAGCATGGAAAGAGATAGCCTTTCGGGTTTAAGCATCATGAAACAACGAAAGGAAACCAGCAAAATTCTTCCCCATGAACAAATATTTTCTGCCTGCTATCGGATTATAAACATTACAATCGTTATATTCAAATGTGCTTCTCTTGTTTAGTAAAGTTTGGGGTTATGAGTGCAGTGGTGGCCTGAACCGACACAGCCTAACCATGGTTTGTTTCCTTATTAATAAACTGGACCCAAACCAGAATGCGGTGGGAATTCTTAGGGAGAAACCCAATTCTGACCGTGCAGTGATGCTATACGTATTAAAAAAAATACATAGCGTCTAATGCCCAGGGATACGATTTGGCTGAAAAAGGGAGGAATTCACAAGTTAGGGGTCCAAATTGGCAAGATGGCGCATGGCGCATTATGATCTTAATGTGTGCATGTTCTAAAGTACACCATCGGATTGCTTGATGTCCCCCCCTGCCCAGCCTCCCATCCTTCCCTAACTGGCGCACTATCCCGCTTGTATTCGATATCAATTCCTTGTCTTGTCATTACCAACGAACTGGGTTCCTTCTGGGCCCGTTCCAAGGCCAGCTCCACCATGTTGGATGAAAGATCCAGGCCTAACACTTCCACGCCAAATTCCTGCAGAGGGAAAAACACATAGGAGACTCACTCAGAGCAGGTCAGTCCTGCTGGACCAGTTCGGTTCTGCAGCGCCCAGGTGCTATTCGAGGGAGGCTTGTTTCCATTCCATTTAAAGAGTGCCCCAGAGCATCTGCAGAGTGCTTTCCCATCCCCACTATGGAAAACCAGAGTCACAGGAACAGTGGGTTATTTCCACGAAGCCCTGCATGGAGACAGGTTCAGATGTTCATTGATGGCAAGCAACTGGCGTGCAAGAAGTGAGGGCAAGTGAAGACCCTGGTTGGCAAGCGATGGTGCCAACTCTATTTATGGTAAGTGAGGGCAAGTGAAGACCCTGGTTGGCAAGCAGTGGTGCCAACTCTATCTGTGGTAAGTGAGGGACACGGGATGGTAAGAGATGGAGCCAACTGTGGTGAAGGACATTGGATGGTAAATGAAAGTCCATCTGTACTGATCATCATGGATCCATCTGGCAAATGATGGGGTCATCTATAGCAGAGGCAAGCAATGGACCCATTTCTAGGAACCACACGCAGAAACACTGAGGTTGACTAATCATTGGGAGAGGACCGATGAAAAGGCAGATTTAAAGACCGCCCTCTGGTAGAGAAGTCAACCTCAACTTAAGCTCAAAACCAGTTGAACTTCAGACTGTAAGCTCCTTGGGGCAGAGAACTGACCTCGCTGAGGTCACTATAAGAATCATAATATGATGATGTCAAAGGTACCTTCGCCAGGTAGAAATCACTACCCCCAAGTCCACAGCCCACGTCCAGCACACGTTGACCTGGTTTCAAATCCAGCAGGCGAACCAGCTCCTAGGGAAAGATCAGGGATGTTAGTTGGGCTTCCGATCCGCCTGTCAAGGAGAACATTTTGTCCTCCAGGTAGTCCTCAGTTTAAGAACGAGTTCCGTTCCCAAAGTCTGTCCATAAGTCGAATTTGTACATAAGTTGAAACAGTATTATTGTATAATACTGTATAAGTAGTATTGTGTAATCAACTTGAACCATTGTGAATTTAACTCACATTTTGCTACAATACCTCCGTTCTTAACTATAGGTCGTCCTTAAGTCGGGCATTCTTAACCCAGAGACTCCCTGTAACTCATCTGTCCCTGATCTGGCACCCCGCAGGTTATTGGAACTACAATTCCCAGCATTCCTTGCTTTTGGCCACACTGGCAGGAAACTAGGGATTGTAAACCTGACTCATCTGGGGGTGCAGATTAGGGAAGGCCGGTCTAGAGAGGTTGCCATTGCACAGCCTATTGAACTAGGTCAGTCAAAAACCTGGCAGCTGGGTTCATGCCAAGGGTTAATTTTGCATAGGGTTAATCATGGTTGGTGTTTTGATAGCTTAGCATGTTATACAAACAAGCCAACTGGATTCATTTAGACCAGTTTTTTCAACTTTGGCAACTTTAAGGTGGGTGGACTTCAACTCCCAGAATTCCCCAGCCAGGAATGCTGGCTGGGGACTTCTGGGAGTTGAAGTCCACCCATCTTAAAGTTGCTAAGGTTGAGAAATACTGTCTTAGACACTGCTCTATCTAGTGGAGATGGAATTAACTAGATTTAGCTAATGTGGAATATTGTTATTATTTTATTAGATTTAAACTTCACCTTTTTTTCAGGAGCCTTGGGCGGCGTACATAGTACTCCTGGTTTTCCCCATAACAACATCCCTGACGAGTAGGCTGGGCTGAGAGGGAGGGACCGGTCCAAAGTCCCCCAGGG